AATTCTCGGAAAAGTCTATTGTTGCCAGAGAAACGACCGGCGACAAAGGGACCGGGATGAACGATTGAAGCCACCCTTTCTACGCGAATTATCAGGACGCGTTTATCCCACGGTTGAATAGGGGGATGAAAATGGCGACGAAAATAAACAGCAACCAGGCAGCGTTGTTTGCAGAGCACCTCTATCTGCACAAACTTAATTGTTCTCACGAAAGTAGAAGAACACTGCTGTAAATGTACGCGAAAATATGTCAAAATATCGATTTCTTTAACTTTTTCGGTGCTCTGCGCGAGTATTAAATTATTTTGTTCTTGACGTACTCAAGACGAGTTAACTCATTAACAATAAGCTCATGCGATGTAACTCGTCTTGAACACGACAAAAATAAAATAATTTGACGAGTATACTTGCGCAGAGCACCGACAATTTAAGATCGACAATTCTTCTAAAGAAGCGCGGGACAAAAACGCTGGTATTTTCTACGCCAACCAACATTTGTTTATGAAAATAGCCAGAAGCAGTGTCCAAAGTACGTACTTTCAACGCATCCATCAATCATTCGTATGAAACATTCGGTACTGCCAGGAAACAATCCCAAATATCGATATTCTTTTCGTCGAGAACAATAACGTCCGACTATAGCTACTCTACTTTCACTTACATTTTCACTTCGTCCGATTTTCCCTGATCGGGAGAGTCGGAACACAAGCGGGCACTAGGGGTTAGGTCAAAAGCGTGCTTTGAAGCGTTATGAGGCACGAGCGAACGAGGCGGGGGCGTATAAAACATGAATTTCAGAAATCACTCGACACTCCTAAGCTGGATCTCTCTGCGTCGAAGGCGAATTCTAAAGATCAAACAGAGAGGCCCCGCGTTCAATGGTGACCAATCAGCCGTGGCGAGCCCGTAAACACCGCTGTATTCGTGTATCAATGAAAGCGTCGGGATGATACAAGGGGGTAGGGAAGAAGGAAGCAGGGGTTTGTATTACCTTATGTATTCGTTCAAGTGGAAACTATGTATTTCGGCGCATCGTTAAATCAATGGGCTTTTGATCACGCCGCCTCGATAATTGCTGGCAGCTTCTAACTGTGCGGTCCCGTTCAGGCTTGCCAGCCTGACGCTAGTTACCGAAGCTGGCAGAACTGCAAGTGCTGTGATCCATTACCTTCGGAATATTACTAGCCGGACGCTGGATATTTTATCCATCGCTGGAGTCGTCGGGGAAAGTTAATTAACTCGGATCCGAAACCTCCAATTAACGTGAAGTATCTACTTTACGGTTAAGAATTAGTCAATTGTCGGTGAAGTGCAATTTTTGTAAGTGTAACTTCTTATATGTTATCAAATCGATTTAACGTCTGCGTTAAATTTACATCCAGAATGAGGTAGAAACGACTGACTCAATTTTAAATTGGAAATCTACTTTTCGATATTAATTTAATATTTAGGTTTCCTATCTAAGAAAGGAGAAATTTGTATGGCCGGAGGAATAGATCGGAGCGGAGGAGATACAAGAAAAGAACAATAAAAATGTAGAGTGGAAAAGAGGGACTTTTAAAGGGTCAGCGACAAGTGTGCCATCGACGTTTCCTTGGCTAACCTTGCCCGTTCCATTTCTTACTTTATCTGTACAGGTTAAACCCCGCCTCAATTAAAAGTATATTCCCCGTAATTGCGCGTTGTTTGCAACCGCAAACATTGCAGCGAAAGCTTATTCCACGGGCAAGATTCTCTCCCTTACTCGGGTTTACTTTCTCTGTTTCGCCGTCTATTTGTACACACAGCTCTCGGCAACAACGACACGGAACGAAGAGGTTCATTTCGAGGCGGAACCGCACGCGAAGCAATCTCCAGCTGCGCACACTTAGAGAAGAATAACCGAACCGGACATGGGACGTTGAAGCTCGAAATGGAAATCTTTAAAACAAACTGTGACCAGTATCGTTTCAGAATTGATCGACCCCCTCCGGCCAGTTGTAAAAACACGCGACGAAACGACACACTCGAAAGGACTTTCGGACTGATCCAGTCGACGCGATATCGTCGAACATGAAATCATTTTTTCAAGCTAAATTATTTGCGTATAAAACGGGAACACGAGTAGTTGACACTTTCGATTAAAATTTTTCTATATAAAAAGATTACATACTCCAGTGTTTTTTTCTGGAAGAAAACGTCAACATCCATTGGCGTAAGTATCAGGTTTTCTGTATCGTACATATATTTCCATTGGCGTAAGTATCAATTTTTTTCGTGTACTTCTTCATTCGAGGTAAACTGTGATTTTGCGATATATTGAAAGGGATTTATTTTGCGCGAGTCCAACGTATGTATTTTGTATTGCATATTTGTTTTAACAAAGGTATTAGAGTGGGTCAAGTAAATTGATTTTTCTGGTTACAAACACGCCATAGAGGCTCTATAAACAGATTTGCACGGTTTAATTTATTTTCAGTGAAAATTCCACGCGTCTGTATAAACGTTGCTTGCATTTCAATAGAACCGCGTGCAACGCACCACGCAACGAAACACCGTTAATAGTATTACGTAGTACACATGTCGAAATCAACGTTAATAGCGTTGATAGCTGCTGGGAGAACTGCCCCTGGAATTTCGTGTAATGTAGCGATTGATTAATTCAAAATTGACCGTTTGAGAGCAGCTGGTACGGCCCAAAATCTCTCGTCCTCGAGGAAACGATATTCGCGAAGGTAAAAAGCCATTCAAAATTTTATACGATTTTTCTCACCCTCGTTAACGGTTCATGATTTCATTACAGTCGTTATATTATAAAAAGTTTAGTTCCAAATAGGCTGAAATTATATTCGAAACTTTTTTGAGCCTGAAACGAGTTTCCATAATTTCGTACAAGGGGATTTTCTTTCAACTACTATAACAAAAAGGGTAGATGGTATTTTTAGGAATTTTCAGCGACCTTTAAGGATTTCAACGCGACCCCTTCAGGAGTGCGTACCATAGTTTAAAGGAGCTTCACAGTAGGCGATGCAGGGGGGATCCGATTTCGCTCGAATTAATCAATTGTTAGTAATTTGACGGGCGTTCGAGCGTTGGCGCATTAAAAATTCAATTATTCGCTCGAATACCCGCACACCTGCGGAAAATACCGGGAAGTGTGACCAGCGAGAAGCTTGACGAGCGCAATTTGATCGACACTGGAATTCCATGAGCGAGAATCTATTTCTGATGCGTTTAGACTATTCAGTAAGTGGGTCCAAATAGGTGACAGACACGAATTAATGGATCCATGCAGAACAACAAAAAGGGAATTATTATTCAAAACATTTGATTAAAGTTAAAAGGAAGTCTCGTTTAGCTCTTCGATTGCTTAATAAAATACTAAATATCCTCGCGAGTAAATTAAATAAATTTTTAAACGAATCTAGAAGATGTAATCAATTTTTTTAATTCAAATCACTAGATATCTATTTTTAATGCTTGGCTTAAAGCATGAATATTGTATGAACTTATTTAATAGATAGAAAATCAGCGAGGGTATAATAGTATATACAATGTATATGAAGAGTTACCATTAACGAATAACAAAGACAGTGGTTGTACAGTTAATGATCGATTCAAAACTATTCTTCGGTCCTTTCGATTTAAATGAGCGCTCGGCGCGCATTATGTCGCGTACGTGCGCCAGCACTCATTAGATAGCCCCACCGAATGACACGTAAATATTGAACACTGAATAATACATTCCATTCGGGAGGAGGCGGGGAGCGGAATGTCGCGCATTCGTTTAATCGCAATATTAAACTGCGATCAAACACCAAATAACGCGTGTCGGCAAGATGCATGTACTCGCATTAACGATAAACGATTTTATCATCGTGGCACATTTTTAGTCGTTTAAATGCATCGTCACGTCTCGCGGCCACGTAATTACGTACGCCTGAACAAAAATATCCTCCAGTCGTAGTCGCCATTCACAGTCATCATCGTAATATGGAAAAGCTCGACCAAAATCGCCTTAAAAGCGACTCTCGAGGCTGTAAAAAGATGGATGAAGACGACGAGGGGAGAGAAGAATGCGCCAAGGACGTAAAACGTGGACGAGCGAATCACGCATTCTGAAACCGTCGACGCATCGTCGATCTGATACGTTACGATGATGCAACGAATCAACCGAATATAAATTCACAGTTGGCCCTAGCGGTCCGGGGCTAGCAAACGCGATATAAACGCTGATTCCCTCATACGCGGCTCTTGCACGCGTAAATCTCACGATTTACGAGCGTGGTTACTACGTTCGCGAAAAAGATGGCCTTGGCTTACTCGGGAAGCATACCGACGCAAGGATGTCAACATTCACCACTTTGTTGCCGGGAAATCGCGAATTGAGTGCTGGGGGATGAATTTCTGGAGCTCGTGCAATTCACAGTGACTGGGAAACGATGTAAAATGTGAGAGAAGTCGTTTCATTATCGATAGAGGACGATGTTAGACCTCAATCAAGTGGGAAAGTGGCTTAAGCATTCGATATGCAAGTGATTGTCGAGTAAGAATTTTGTTGATCACGTTGTTCAGATAGAAGAAGGCTATCGAATGATATAATTTTAAATATCATCAATTAAGTGGGAGAGTGGCTTAAGGGTCCTGGACGCACGTGACCACTATATAGGAATTTTATTCAATAGCATGGTTCAGGTGGAAGAGTGGCTTTAAGGTCCATTACGTGCATAACAGTCGAGTAAGAATTTTAATCCAATTTTTTAAGTGTAAGTGTGACTTAATATTCTTCACATAGATAACTATCAAACGATACTTTTACCACCTTGTGTCTTGAAGCTTGAATAGGTAGCTTGAAGCTTAACTATGCGAATGTCTAACAAGTGATAATTTCGTAAATCATTCAAGTGGGAAAGGGGCATAAAAGCAGATAACAGCAGAAATGTCTACAATATAATAGCTACCAAAAATCCTTCGCTACGTGGTGGTACATTGAAGTTAACCGGGTGTCTCGTTTCTTTCAGACGATGAAAATTCATCGGTGCATGGGATCGTGACGGAGGAGGGTCTCTTCGACGGAACGATTTTCACCGCGTCCGACGAAATCTACATTGAACCAGCCAGCAGATACTCCCCGCTCGTATGTCATCGTCAAGACGGTGAGCGAAATGACGCCACTGACACCGTTCACCACCACACGATAGCGTATCGTTCGGTCGACGTGAGCGTTCCTCGCCCCAATGGATATCCATGCGCCAGCGAAGTCTTGCGGGAAAACACGTTGAACGAACTGAGGTAAGCGATTCTAAACTTGAAGACGTTGGCTCGTTAATACTTGAAAGACTTCTTCAAAGTTTACCTAAAAATATTGTATTAGACAGGACAGTTGACACGACGATACCCATTTAGCAGAAATACGGACGTTTAGTAACCTCAGAAAAAATTCCCAAACACCAGCGTCTCGTCTGCGGGAGCGGTGATTCCAGTTGAAGAGAGTCTCGCGTGCAATTTGGACATGTAATATCCCCGTGGTTGCGCGTAATACATTCAATACCCCCTATATAAAGCTAATATCAGCCGGTAGCACACATCGAGCGGTATAATAGAATTTCAAATGACACTAGGCAACCACCCGAGGGGTTTACGTTTTCCATTTTTACGCGGGTCCCTTCCATCTCGATGGCTCGGGGTTCGCAAAGCGGCTTACCGGGGCCAGAGGTCAAACCGTGGCGCTATTAATCGCGCGCCGTCATCGGACGAAGTTAACAGAATTACTAGGGACGCCGTGGCTCAAAGGGGATGCCAGGGAAACCCGATGATTTTCGTGCGACGCGCGCGACGGAACGCAAGCCACAATTAGAGCACAGAGGTTTCGAGGGCTGATTTGGCAGGGTTCTTGGCGTCGATTAATGATAACGTTTACCGACGTGGCCCGGGCAAGAGTTTCTGGTGACACAGGGTAGAGAGGAGACTACGAGTTGTTCCGATTACTCTTGGCCGAGATAAACAGTTCGGTCGCGCTCGAGTTGGGGCGTCGCTTTCGCGTAAACTTTCGTTCGAACGGGCTCCAATGGCCGTCGCGTGGCCTCGAGTTTGCATCCGTTTGTTACGTCTGCGGTCGCCATGGGTTCCGCGTTTACGATAAATGATTGGTCCACCTTGGCCCATTTTTGCTCGAATCGGAGCGAACGCGGTTAATCGAAGTCGCATCGAGGAAAGTTTTGGTGTCGTTCGCTATTCCGGCGACGAACTTTGGAAAGAATTCGAGTCAGGCCTGTCCTCGACGATATACCCTAGGTACCACTTTAAGTTGAACCTAATCAAAGGGTCTGCACAGCCTCTGGATCAGGAATGTCAAACACGTGGCACGATCCATTAGATTCTGTGACCCTCTTGGCTTTTAAAATTGTTTTACTGTGCAGCCATGCCTTGACGGGTCGCCAATTTGTTAATTCATTAGGGGCAATTGTTCTACTAATAAGGATAAATTCTATTGGACTGTTTCGACTGACTCGACGTGATCCAACCACCGTCTACATGGATAATTTTTATTTTTAACATTAATTATTTTTAATTAATTATATAATCGTCTTTGATGTCAACAGCCTTTTGCCATCTAATGTGCAAATTTTCCCTCGAAAAACTTACGCTTAAAATATTCTGACCGTGATAAGATTGTGCATTTACAGGCTGCGACATAAAACCGAAGTGCAAATTGGTTCTCGAGGCAAAAATAAGTCCGACATGACTGCTTGAAATGCTTCGAAAGCTCGCTTCACTCCGAGTCGATGAAATTTCGAAATCGCGTCACGCTCAACAGAGGACTTAAACGAGCGAGAGGCCTGTAAAAGGTAAAACTTCGCTGGCGTATAAAAGACTCGTAAAAAAAAAAAAAAAAAAAAAAAAAAAACAACAGAGCTACACAGACGCTTATAAAAAGGAAACTGTTAAGAGAATCCAGCGAGTCCATCGTACACGGAACGAAGTCGTGAGGCGAGCCAAAGGAAGGCTCCGTCGAGAACGATCCCCCGAAGTAAATTGCCACCCGCGCTGTTACGTATTATTCGACATATGTCACCCTTATCTCTCCTGCCCGCACCCCCAGCGATTTCTCTCGTTTATCCGGGACCGACGGAGCTGATCGGTTCAGCATGAGGGATTCACCGGTCCGAGCTGTAGTTTCCCCCGAACACGCTCACCGACGAAAAATCGTTTGCAGGACGAACAGGACGTGGAGTGGATATCTCGGGGACACAATGCGGCCGCTTTATCAACACCAAAACGAGGGGAACTCCCGCGCCAAGCCGGGTTTCTATCCGAAGGACGCCAGGAAAAAGGACCCCACCGCGAGCTCCCACAACCTGGAGCTACTCGACAGGTAAAATTACTTGATGAACTCCCGTGGATCGAGGAATGCCTGATGCTAGTCCCCTGGACGTTCGAGACGCGATTGAATGTGTACGAATAATGGGACACTCGGTGGAAATTAATTCGTTGTGTGTGGTCGTCTTTTGTCTGAGTTATTATTGTACTGGTCTACTTGGTAGGTTAGTGGTAGGGTTATTCCACTCAGAGGGGAAGTAATCCCGTTGTCTGGCCAGTAATGCAATTATTCTACTTGCCTGGACGATCATTACCACTTAATTTGCATGACCAAGGAGGTACTAGACTACACGTCTAATTATTTATGTGCTACTGTACTAGGTAATCTATCGAGCCAATATTATCATACTTGCAAGTTATTCATTCGTTTGTCTGACCAGTGACTGTCCTCATCCACTTGCCTGACTCTGTATGGCACGTTCTACTTACTCCGCGTTTTCTTTTTCCACGTGGCTTCGACTACAAAATGAACTATAATAAAACGAAGCAACGCGTTCGCTCGAAAGTTAATTGCATAAAAAAAAAAAAAATATAGAGAAGTTGCGCAACCGACAAGAAGTTATACAGGCCTCGTTCGTTCTCGATCAAACATTCTCCCTCGCACCCTTCGGCCTCGTTCGTTCGGCTTAACGCTCCCGTTCCATTTACCCCGTCTCGGTGAACACGTCGATGAAATATTCCAGCAGGCCCCTCGAACGTCGAAGGTCTGAAGAAAGTTGCCAGACCCCCGGCGAAGAAAAGCGCAACGGTTACTTAACGTCCCGTCGATTCGCTTGAATGTTTGCCGTGCAATGCTTGCGCTTCCATTTAAAGAGCACACCTATTTCCGGGGGCTAGGGAAAAGTCAGATTATCCGACGGCGTCGGAACGCGCGCCGATGAGAACGTCAAAAATCGAGTGCAAACACCATTATCGTCGATCCAATTTAACGTTGACCGCGGCCGGGTTTATCCTTATCGGGAGCCGTTTCTGCTACTGGCTCTTTTTTTGAAAGAGTTTGATTTGTTGTTCGGCTGGAGATCACGTATCGACAGGGATCCGACACCCGCGACGCAAAAATCACGCCGCTTTTTTTTTTTTTTTTTTTTTAAATCGTAGCGGGCGGTCTCCCCAAAATATAAATTGGAAATTTCGCGTTTCGCCTTTGAAGTTGAAATCTTGTTATTCCGCGCCTGGAGCTACGTGGGTACAAATTTAAAAATCTAATTTCTGTCAGTGGAGAGATGGAGACGCGGAGGCGTGGAGCGTGTCTGCAATGGTATAAACTAAAATTCACAATCGGTTGGTATCGGTGGAAATTCGTTTGAAGTCGAATAAATGGAAACGCGCGGTTAAATTGACCATGTCGGCGTTTCTCGGTCGAAACTTTGCATTTTTTTTTGCCATCAAAGCGCGGAGTTTAAATATATTGTTTAATATATACCGTATGCGTGGAACGCGTTTACAGGGTGGAAATGTGTGGTTCGAAGTTCTCTCCTGGTACAAAATTAATTTTCAAAAAAGAGGATGCATGGATACATAAAAGTATGAAGTGACTATACAGCATAATCAATACGTTCAAACTTCGCCTCTTAACCAAAATTTATGGTCCTCTGTCCAGGCTGTATAGGGCGAGGTACTCTAGAGTGCTCCGGAAGAGGACGTCAGTGGATCCAAAGAAAACGACCTGTATGTTATACCTGCAGGCTGACCACACGTTTTTCGGTCACTATAAATCCGAAGAGGCCTGCATAGAAGTGATGACACGCCACGTGCAGCGTGTCAACTCCATCTACAGGTACACAGGTGAGTACCTCGAAGCATAATTCTCGTTGCACTCGCGATAAAACAAATAAAACCCAAAATCAAATCGAACCTTTCAACTTGCATCGTTCTATTCATTCGTTGAAACAACACGCTCGTATCGTCGGCGAACTGATTCCCTTCGAGATCGATAAATCATTCGAAGAAGTGTCTATGAAGGCAATGACAGCCGGGATTCCGCCGGGAAACCCTTTCCCTCACCGGACGGCATTGAAATCGGCAGCGTTCCCTCTCCCAGGCTAACAAGTGCGCGACTTCTGTCTCATTCCGCTGTAATAACTTCGCAAACCAATTAAAACTTTTCCCCGGACCTTCCAGTTAAACTAACTTTCTGCCAGCGGCGATCGGAGGAAATGAATGTTTCTTAGCCTCGCCGCGGTCCCTTCGTGCTCCGCGACCGATTAATGTCAGTTTCTGTGTCTGACGTTGACCGATTGATTCCGTGGAACTTTATTGCACCGCTACACACACCTAATTCGTAAACTTTGAACGATGGTTATCAAGGCTGAACGAAAAAGGATCGTAGCTACCGTTGCACGTATGTTTCTCTGTTTGCTTCGAAAAACTTTTCATCCCGTTTTACTTTCGCTTCCAGTGGGCAGTAATCGACGAGGAGGGTCGGATTTTAATTGTCTGACAAATGGTGGGTCTATTCTACTTAAAGGAAACGAATGGTTGGCTTAAGATATTCTCTGACTACGAACAGTACTGAACTACTCGTTTGTGGTCTTATCTTATCTCCTGGTTTGTTCAGTGATTGTCTTTATAACTTGTCTGACTGTGCCCGACTTTTTCTACTTACATCTCTAGATACGCTTCTTCCACTTGCCTTCGACTACAAAGTAAACTACAATAAAACGAAGCAATATATTTGAATAAATATACTACATGTTGAAATCTATTTCTTGCGATACCGTCTGACACCAGTCGGCACTACTAGCCCTTTGTAGACACGACGTAGATCCACTAGTCCGACCATAAACGATACGAATCTACTTGCCCGAGCACCAACTGTCTCACTTCGCCAGCAGTTATTGGAATAAATTACAGCCCGACGAGGCCACGCAACTGTCCCGCTATCTTCCATCAACGAACACGAAACAATGAACAAACTTCCAGGCCTAAACGAGCCACCTGCTGTTTTTCATCGTCTCCCTCGATCGCCGAGGCCAAGAAAAGTCGCGTCACTCGATAGCTTCGCCTAGAAACGAAGAGCCAACGGAAATCAAGGGACAGGGTACCTGAAAATCTCATTCGGTCGGTCGCAGTCGACGAATATTAAGTAAGAGCTGCTCGCCATGCCCCGTGCCGGCAGAGGTGGCTTTAAACGCAGCACCACCTGCCGTAACAACGCGAGCAAATATTTGTGTCTCGTGACTGAGCCGTGTTTAACGTAGCGTGACCGCGCGTACACGCGGCCCAGGCCGGCGCATTACTTAGAATTCCCTATCTCTTCCGTCGTGCGATTCGCGGATAAAGCCGGTTTTCCGGCGACGTTTCCGTCCACCCTGCTACGAACCCCACCTTCGCTCCCCCTGTCCGACCAATCCCTCCGTTTTGCTGTAGCGAGCGTACTAAGCACAAGCAGGGACGCGTCGAGCTTTTGGGACGATGATCGCGCGATTATCGGGCCATCTCTGCACGCGAGCATTCGGGTATGACCGATCGACCACCCCTCGGAAATGCCGGCCCGAACGTGCCTCCCTTTGTCCTCGGATTAGACGGCATTAACTCTCTTCCCATCGCGATATGTACAAGCCGTCCGCCAGCTAAACGCTCTTGTCTGACGAGAGATCCGGAATTACTGCGATTAAAGCCCGCATCCTCTGCATCGCGATGTTGTGTCTGCTGATTGCGTCTGGACGGGTCCCTGCGACAAGGGAGTTCGGTAAGTGAGTTAGTTCCCTGAGTAACGTCCCCGTGGAAGCACGGTGATCTTTTCCCAACCGAAGGGAATTAATTTCAATAATGGGGTGGCTTGGTCCGAGCGTTAAGTCAATGCATTTTTTAAATAGTTTAAGGGAAAAGTGTTATATTGTTGATTACATACTATGAGTTATATTTAAAGCGATTTTTTTACTTTATATAGATAAAATATAGAGCTAGTAATACCAATAAATTCTTCAACTATTAGCCTTCGATTGCCAACGGCAACAATATCCTCGATAAAAAAAAAGACCAAAATTTCCTTTTCTCATATTTTCCAAGTTCCGTTTACCAACCATATTTTCATCCCTCGAGGGAAGATGAACGTCGTCGCGCGTCCGAAGTAAAGCAGGAGTGCTTATATTTCGCGTCGAGACAACGCGATGAACTCAGCGAAAACGCTGAAGCCATGAATGTAACTATCGCCCAGGAAATAATACATTTCTTTGCGCGGTCCCTTCGTGCGCGAAATTGCGTTCTTCTTATTGCGAGAGGGGCGGCGAGGCGAGGGAAAAAATTGCGGCGATAATGCTATCTCGCCGGTAATATCAGCGAAGCTGGAAAGTTCCAACGTTAGTCATTGCACGTGGAACGTTGACCGCCGCGTTTATGATCCTTATCCGCGGGCTCCCTCGTAAAAAAAAAAAAACTTTATTTCCGAGCGCCATATCCGAGACAGCTGTCACGCAACGAGTTACCCCTCTATTTGTTTGCTGGGTAATTTTTTACGACATCGGCACGTGAACCAGGAACTTTCGAACGCGACGATACAATCCCCCGTGTTTGATGATATACTGTATCATATTTCAAAGTTAAGTGGCGGAGGAGTAGAGTTTCAATTATTTTAAAAAACCAAGATCGTGAGAATATTACGATTTCGCAATGATAGTGAATTTATGTCTGACATTTTTATTTTTACGTTAGGAAAGAGTATCAGTTCTTTGTCTTTTCATTGTTCACTTCGTAGATAAATTGAAAGGTGTAATCGCGTATCGAAATGATTTACTCGGATCCACATGCACGTAAAAAAAAAAAAAAAAAAAAAAAAAAAAAAAAAAAAAAAAAAAAAAATACATATCGAATTGAGTAACTTACTCCTTTTCGAAGACGGTTAAAAAATAGTTGCGATCTATTTGCCTGACGTAGGACGATCCTCTCTTAGTCGTCCGTACAGCACGATCCCATTTCACTTAACCGACCACAAGCTGATGTAATCTACTCTGTTGTCTATACGTTGATACGATCTACTTAACTAATCAAAGTTGACCCGATCCACTTGCCTGACCATTGACGGTCCTATTTCACTAGCTCGTCTGAAAAATAAGTATAAATTACGAAAAAAATCATGTGTTACGCATCTTTCATATTCTTTACTTATTCCCATGATTGAAAATTAGGAATTGTCTCTCATGCTTGTCTGGTGTGCGCGGACACGAAACTTCGTCGACCCGATAAATGTTTCACGCGTCGCTACCTTGAACTTCCTACGTGCCCTCACACTTCGCCCATATCCAGAGCGCTCAATTTGCATTATTTAGCGGCCCAAGAAGTCCTCCCTTGAAGTTGCATCCCCCCCTCTCCCTTGCCCTCTCGTGTTTTCACCACCGGCAGTCGCTTACCATGCCGACGGTGCGCCAAAACTGATTAATGCAACATCAAACTCGAATACAACGGGCTTAGTGTTAATTACCGACAGCAAGTGTATGTTGGAAGCGAGATATGGATGTTGGCGTTTGGTTTGCACCAGCCAGACAATCTGAAGACTCAAAGACCGCGCCACTCAAGGAAACAGAAGATCTTACGCGACTACATTCCCGTCGGTTTCAGCCTTTGATGCCTCACGTGTGCCTTCGACGACCCACAATCCTGTTCGTTGATATTAATGGCGATCCATTATTATCGAAATTGCCCCGTCAGTTTCCAATGTGTTTCGAACGGGCAGGGTGAAACGGATCTATAGGTTTTCACGCTCCGAGAAGTCACGAGATCAGCGACGCTCGGCATAAATTCGCTGAAAGGAATCACGGTAGCGTGTCGCGGGGCCGTTTTTCCAGTTTCGATTGGTATTCCCGCGGAGAAGGTGTTTGATTAAATGCTTCCCACCACGCGACGAGCGCGCCGCGGCTCGCGAATACTCTGATCACTGGGGGCAACACCGAAAATTACTCGTCCATAGCCCCAGTGATTTTCGTTATCAGCTATCGATTACCCCGGCGAGTAGTTCCTCTCAAATCCCGTGAATTTTGCGGCGTCGATGGGTATCGTTGCCTATCCAAGCTCTGACTCGTCAAAGCTCTGAATTTACCCATTCGTCCATTCATTGAATCCCTCCGGCGAGGTTGCAATTAATTTTCCGGCTTGGAAAGAGTGGAAGATTGCGTGAAATTTCTGGGACATTCATGTTTGCCTAGACTCGGGTATGAATTTATACTTTTCAGTTGCACTTGATTGATTTCAATAAGCGTAGCAGAAATATAGGGACGTAATTTTGGGTCACAAAAAACAAACATTAGCGTGAGAGTCCAGTTTCAGGGTGTTGATACAATTTCTTGTTCTATCTTTGTAGATTTCAATCAGGACGGCCAGCCAGACAACATCAGCTTCATGATAAAACGCGTAAAGGTCCACGGCGAGGATGCCCTGAACGACTCGAGCTACAGGTTTACCGGCGCCTATGGTGTGGAGGAGTTCCTCGAACTCTTCTCTGGTAAGTGGACCATTGCAATGTTCTACTTTTCCGCCAGTCTCCAAGTCTCGTGGGAATCGGTCGATGGCTTCGTTCAATCGCTCATCTTGGTAACAATGCTATAAAGACTTTCTACTGCAACGCCCAGTGGATGGTTGATAACAATTCCCATCTCACAATCTTTAAGTTGCTGAAATGATTCTTGCAGGGTGCAGAATCGATCGTATTAGAGGAAGAATCGGTCGAAAATCCACTTGGAATTAAGAATAAATTGGAATTTATGTCATTTTGCTTGTCTGATATATGGTATACTCTACTCCTTGGCTGACCCAGTAGGTTAGAAGTCTACTTAACTGACTCAGTACTACTATTCTAGTCACTAGTCACTCTATACTTTTAATCTAGCCAGAACTTATTCTATGTGTCTCCCTACCACTGCTCTATTTCACTCGTCCGACCATATACTGACCCATTCTACTTAATATTTAAAAGCACGATCTTCCAACGTGTCCAACAACATATTTCGCAACTTTTCCTATAGTCAACATCAAAAGTTGATCAAATTCCTGTCATCTGAACGTTCTCCTTTTGACGTCAACGTCGTGAAAGTCTGCCTGGACGTTGTTAGTAATCCTGGTTCACCTTAAAACGTAACGTTCCAAACACCCTTTGAAGTATCTCTCACCGTTCGTCGCCATTCTTCGCCACCTAATACCGTAGTTAATAAACACGTGGGAAGGTTAAATTACAGAGATGAAACCGGACACGCGATGCTCCATGAAAACGAGCTCCTTTCTTTTGACCCTCACCGGGAACCACCCAGTTAATCGGCTGCAGCTTCCTTTTCCACGAGCCCCTCTCCTGGTCGACCACTCCCTCAAACGTCGAACCATCAAGGTTCTTCCGTGCCTTTGATTTATAGACGGGATTTGTGCTACCATTCGACGTCACTGATACGTACAGCAGTTTCACCTTCCATTGCAAAGTATCCTCGAGGAAGAAACGTTATCTCTGGACTCGGGTGAGTCCTTTCAGACACTTTTTTATACGGAGGAAGTTGTGAACCTGGGAGAGGAACAATTGCTATCCTGGAAGGAGTTCGTCCAAGAATTTACAATCGGAGTTTAGAATCAGAGAACAGAGTCGACTCATCACTGGTCCAGGTGACGTCAAAGTTCTTCCTTTGAAGCATCTTTGTTATCCAAGTCTCTCCGCGATCAGAGGTCAAAATTCATGGGTATTTCAACTAGTTAACCGCGGGAATGTTCGAGTTCCCACGGAACAAAGTTAAAATATCCCCGACAGCCGAGATTAATTATTACCGTGCCGCATCACCAGCGCTAATGAGTCGCAGATCAATGCGGTCGAAGTTCCGTAGGTTAGGGTTATCGGGGGTCGCGATATATCCAGTCGCTCTCGACGTTCCTCCGAGCTGATTTAAGCCGAACGCTTTGTCTCGAGACGTCAATAGAGCACGCTGTTGCCGAGACAGAATCCATGAATATTTCTCCGCCACTTTCAGCCACCGTATTCTGACTGGCAGGATCGGGTTTTGCTTCCTCCTAATACAACCTGTTCCAGCCAGTGGCTAATTAAAGATTAAACTTCCATCTCTGGGATGACTCGTGCACGGATTGACGCGGCAAAACGAACGTTTATACACGCCTCGACCGCATATATAAATTACGAATAATGTTGGTACGAGATAAATTATTACATTGGATTTAAAAATTAGTTTCGATAATCTATTAGTGCGAAAACGAAGATGGACGTTGCTTTCTGAAAGGAGTCGCTGTTAAATAATGAATGCTGAACAAAACTGAATGAGTAGAAGAGGTAAATTACAGCCAGACAATAATAGTAGAGCAATTTAAAAAAAAAAAAAACGATTTATACGACACTAAAAATTAATTTTGATAATCTAATCAAGTGAAAACAGAGATGGACATTGCTTTCTGGAAATTCCTCTAAGTTGTGAAACATTTACGAAAATACAAGATAATGTAGAGCCAACCAATCGTAGTTGTGACGACTGTCCCTAAAGGGTGAATTCATGCGAGAAACGTTAGTTCAGATCAAACTGCAAAATTGATCTGCGATTCAATCGTTATCCAATCATTTCCACCATCTATGAATATTATAATGATGTTTCATTCACATAGCACATCATCGATCGTGTTAAAACGTTAGTATGAATTATGTTTGATGCGTCGAATTTGCGTTCTCCATGCGCGTTTGAGTTTGCGTTGTCTGCGATAATTACGCAATTTTGGCCGAAATGTTTGCAACCCGACGCGATAATTAATAAGCAGGATTGCGGGTCGTGGGTCTGGTCGCGATTACTCTGGCAAAATATATTTTCTGTTTTTTCTTGTTCGCGCTTACGCGTGTTCAACGAGTGGGAAAACAATTTCGCAAAATGTACTCGCGAAGAAAATATCGAGCACGCGTCATTTCACGTGAAATCAATCACTTTTGTACCCGAATGTCGAGCGATTTTGGCAATACTGGAATGCATTATAGTCTGTGTGAAATTAGGGGGAGCTTCAGTCACCATTTCTCGTTTTTGGAGGTTTTGAAATACTGTAATAAATAAAAGCACTCCAAATTCACAGATTGTTAAGAAAACTACCTACACAAATGATTATTTTACTTTGGGAGTATTATATGTAGATACGGATTTCTCCGTTCATTTTCTTAATACAGAAGAATAAATCTCTCCAAATAAATTTTACTTCACTTATGAAAATGATTTTAGTAACATAAAAATAATAAAACTTCGTCGTATGAATTTTACCCAGTTTCGCTAGCTTACGAAGTACTAATAAGAAGGATAAAGCTAATTTTACTAATCGAAATTCGATATTAAATCTACTGGATGTCAATAATTCACGCGATGGCGAACAGACGTCCTGAGCTTGTCTGATTATAAACAATCCTATTCTACTTCCTGTCAATAATAGATCTCTCCTCAATTGACGGAATATTGGCGCATGTGGTATATGTCAAACCAGGAATAAGCCTCTTCTATTACAGTGGCTATGGATACGCCTGGTGGTCTACGTGTCTGATTGTAGTTTGGCCTATTCTACTCGGCCGGACACGAGAGGAACCCTCTTGTTTGTCTGGCGAAGATACACTTATTCTGCTCCGCTGATCACCGATCCTATTATCCCATCTGTCTAACCAATGCCAGAGGTATTCTACTTGTCTGACGACAGACTGTCTCATTACACTTGACTAGTTACGCGATCTGTTGTATCAGAGAAACATTCAATAATGTTGATTTTACTTATCTGGCTTGGTTTTGTGTCAGTTTCTGGCAAATTCGCGGAGTACTTCACTCGTCTGACACAGAGTGTCCCATTCCACTTGATTAGCTAGACTCAGGTACATTCGGTATTTGCTTTGAGTTTATGTTAGTCTGTAGACAATTTTTTGTTCTTTGATATCATTGTTTCTCGCTGATTATGCTTGATTCTTTGTTTATTTTAAACTTTGTATTCACATTTCAACAATTTATGTAAATATTTCTTTGAATCTTTTTCTCCCGGCTGGCAGAAGCTCGCTTACTAATCCACTTTTCCATTGGTGTCTCTTCATCGGCCAGGAAACTGAAACCACGGAGATAAGTACAACAGCTCGTTACGAGGAGGTATCGAATATCAGAATGCGAAGCTCAATAATTCCTGACAGTGCTCCAAGGGCCATTCCATTGGCACCGATCTACCAATATCATAGCCAGCCTTGGAAATTTCTCGTTTCCGTTATGCGAGACCGAAAATAAACACAAATAAGAGGAAAAAAAGAAAAGATTTCTGTCAGTGGGGGAGACAATGAAACTTGTGACAAGGATCGGAAAAATTCTGAAAATATCGATCGGGACTCTGATAATGTTTAGCACAGCAGCGTGCAAAATAATTTAAAAAATTAGTTCATCAAGTACACGATATTATTTTTCGTTTTTGTCTTATTGTTGGATACGGAGTTGCATGAAAATACGAATCCTTCTAATTTGGTAATGAGAGAATCCAGTTTTGCACAATAATTGGACCATGATTTTTTTCCAGAAAAATATGTGGTCTACCTCATCATGCCTTAATTAAATATTCTGACTTGTTTTACGTTTTCCCTCGGAGTTTCGAATAACATTCATAATTTTATGTTATTCTCTAGAAATACAGTATCGCCCCTATTTTACATGAACAGCTGGAAACTAACTTTGGTATGAATATTTTAATTAATAGCGAGATACATTGATAACTTGTTTATGTTTGAAAAATTATTTTTAACGACCTGTGTTCTGAATATACGTGACATACACTCGCCATAAAGAAAATAGGAACACTTCTTCAAAACGTCGTAACTATGGGAGTTTTCAACCGATTTTCGTGAAACTTCGTCAGGAGTAGTTTTGAAGTGTCCTCTGTGTGTGCAAAGTTGCATTGGCGAGGGTTGATGAGAAGGTGTTAATTCACCCCCTTAAAGAGGGACGCGTCGAAAAACGTCACTTCTGAAGGTGCCAGGAGTAATGGAAAGGATTAAACAAATTTAAAAAACCTTTAGGGCGACTCTCTTTGATGCCCTCTACAAAATGTACCCCTGGCAGAAGTGACTCTTTTCAACGCGTCCTCCTTTAAGGGGGTGAATTAACCCCTTCTCATCAACCCACGCCAATGCAACTTTGCACACACCCAGAGGACACTTCAAAACTACTCCTGACGAAGTTTCACGAAAATCAGTTAAAACCTCCCATAGTTATGACGGCGATTTTGATTGCGAGTGTAGATTCAAGTAGTACTACTTGGAATATATTATTTCACTTTGAAATTATTATTAAATTGCCATTTTCGTCAAAGTACACTTTACAAATTATTTCTGATTCCTTGTCGCGGAGACAATTCCTACTAACGCCGTGAAAATTCTTTGCCGGATACAATTTCGAATCTCCGCGTATATTGCACCGAAAATGCGGAAAATGTATACAATGCTACACGTAGAGAGAGGTCTTTTACTGCGCGTCACGATAACGCGACATCGTCTTGCGACGCGCATAATAGTGCCACGTCAAAAGCCCCGGCGTCGTCCTCGAGCTAATATTCCGCTTCATATTCTTGCTAACAATCGCGAAGGAGTCGCTGTTAAATAATGAATGCACGATATATGTTCCAATTATTCGGGCACTTTTTATTCGGCCATACAGTAGCATCCACAAAGCTGAATAAGTAGAAGAGGGAAATTACAGCCAGACAATAGTAGTCGAGAAATTAAAAAAAAAAAAAATGTTATTCGAGACTATTCTGTGTGCAATTTTATGCGATATAACGCCATGTAGAATATGACTAGTGTCGTCAATGAAGTAGGAGCCAAATATTTTGGTAGCTCAAGATCATTAAGCTGGACATCTCACTGTATCACTTCACTTTTTATGGATTCTTCTAAACAACTAAATTTAATAAAAATGTGTACTCAAGGGTTTTTAGGCGTCCTGATTACAAATTTCATCAAATGATAATGAAAAGTATTTCTTAAACCATTTTCCCATTGTTTGGAGCACATAAAATGGCGATTTCAAACGTTTCATTGGACATTGAGGAATCGTGCAGTGAAAGAGGTCAAGTGGCCTTGAGCGGCCAATACATTCGCGTCAACACAGCCTAGGATCGTAATACGCTTTTTCCGACGAACGCACGCGTTGTTCTCGTTCGCTATGAATTGAAATCGACGAGTGAGGCCGATGTTGGCAGCGCTGAACAACTCGATTGTACACGGCCGTCGATGTACCGCTTCGTTTGATATTCCGCGAATCGAGAAACAGTAACGCGGACCATGACGTTTTTGCCGCGGGCGTCCGGTAACCGAATATGCCTCCTGAGACGCGTGCAAGCGGAAACATGCAACCTGGCGTTCTATTCTCTTCCGTCAACGCGAAAAGGCTACCGCGGACCATTGAAATCACAACAGACGAAAAATAGTTGGCATTCTGTTAAAAGGAGAACTGTTTTTCTAACGGATCATCTGTGCCTTTATCACGCGAGGCGGAAGGATATCGCATTTCTCGTATAGATTCACGTTGCCGCCATGTTTTTGTTGACTTATTTGAAACTACTGAGGCTTTCTTCACTCGTGACCTTTCAGGATTATTGAAAACGTATCGGTATATCGCCTGGAAAATATTGAAACTTCTTTTTGTATGTGCTTGTGAATTCACTATACTCCTACTATAACTACCCGATCTAAATGAAATTTTTGTCTGTTATTCTACATATATCGACGGAAAGTATAGGCCACTAAGTTTGCGGAAACGTCAACTGTAATTACTATTAAATGATATTAAAAATATTAGCCTTCAAAGACGTCAGAAATTAAAAGACTAACCTCTTTAAATTTCTCGACACTATTATACTCGATTATCGACCGTGCAGGGATGCTTTATCCTCTGAAAAAATCCAGTGCGACGTATCGGTTTAGGCAATTTGTAGAATTCAATCGGGGACCCCGTGTTTCGCGGCTATTTTCGACCAAGCGGAGGCAAATAGCGGTCCTTCGCCGGGTTTTAATTAATTTCGTTTTTAATTTCCCCATTGTCGTTCGCAGTATTTTACCTGGCCGTTTCTGCCGTCACGGTAGCAGCGGGGTGAACGGCGGAGGCTTCGGGGGGGATGGTGTCGCGGGGGTTGAAAATTCCCAGCCGACGCGGACGAACATCGTCCTAGATGTTATCCGGGAAAAATAATAAATCACACGTCCGAGGCGTCCAGTAATTTAATTTCTGGAGGACTTTTATGCCGTGGCAACTTCCCTCCACTGGGGATCGGTGTCCGGCCCACGAGTGCATGAAACGAGGTGGAAAAAAAGAGTCTGTTCGTCCACGGCCCCATTTCCACCCCCTTTGTTCGCCCTTTTTACTCTCAGAAGTTTTTCGCGGCATTTTTCCGTGTCTCTTTCTCTGTCTAAAAAAAAAAATAATAATAATAAAAAAGATAGGAAAAAGAATGAGCCATGAATATTCTATGAACGTCGCGGATGAATTTCAATGGAAGGGTTTGTTTACGAACGTCCAGCGCATTCCTCGAGCATTCTGAACTTTCCAAGGTCGCGCATACTTCGTCGCTCCGCTTTTTTCGAGGAGCGAGTTAATCGTCGCGACTGTTCTAGCGGAAGAAATAAGGGAATTTAAAGGGTAAGTATTTGAACTCGCGTTATCGAAGGGTTGAAATTAGTTACAAGACGAATTGAAAGAAATTATTCATCCCTGTTCGAGGAACCTTTGAATGGGGACTTTTATCAGCTGCTCGGGATTATGTTCGACTGAGAGAGGAAATTCTTGACTCGTACTACTTCTCGATTGTTGACTCAAGTATTGACTCTTACTACTTGCTGATTGCTGACTTAATTATGTATTGACTCGTACTACTTGTACACGGTTGTATTGTTATGTTTTGTGTTTGGCATAACAAGAACTTTAAGGATTAACGAGTAACTTTAATATATAACAGGGTGTGTACAACACTAATATCAACAAAGGTAATTAAATGTGTTCTTAATTTCGGAACGTCAGCATTCAATGGGGTCTAGTTCGAATATGACAGCTTGACAGGCGATCAATCCGATCGTCTTCTTCTCGCTGTCTTCTTGTTCCGGTCGCGAGCACCAGCAGGCCTTGGATCCATCCAAAGGGTGCTCGCAACAGTATTAAGAAATCTATGCAAATTTATACTCTTGTATGAATTACACTCATCTCTTATAACATTTCATAATCAATAATATTTGAAATTTGTTACAGAGGAAGACTACGACGCGTTCTGCCTATCGTACATGTTTACATACCGCGACTTCGAAAAGGGTACCTTGGGACTGGCGTGGACGGGAGACTTAAAGAACGCTGGAGGAGTTTGCGAAAAAAATGGGGTGAGTTTCCCTCGACTTATAGCACACTCTTTTAGAAATATACTTGGTCGCAAAAGGAGAAACTTACAGTGGATGTAGAATGTATTCGTACATCGATCAATTTCCCAAAAAAACTTTTGTATGAAATTGTAGCTTCTTAACTTCTTTCTTTATAATCAATCAAACAACATTTACTTGTTAATATAATTTCTGAAATTAATAAAAAAAATGCGAGAAGTGGGTAAAAGTATAGAAGCAATAAGTATTTGTACGATTCTTATGATGAACCATTTACAGTAGAGTTTGTGACATAAACACATTAGTTTATTGCTCCGTACGAATTAGAAAACATCAAATTTCCAGTAAAGTACTTTTAAAAAAGGTTCTAATAGAGGAATAGAAAGAGATCCCACTTCAGATAACTAATAATTTAATTAATTTAACGCTTAAAAGAGTTACAATAATTTATAAAATCAAAAAGAAATCCCACGAAGGAAGTATTATATACTCATAAATTAATGTTAATTTTTTTTTTTTAATCACGTTTTAACAATTAAACAGTTGTGCGAATACTTGTTGCTTCAGTATTTCTATCGATTCATTGTTTTTTTCTTGTTAATTTCGCAACTTACATAAATAGCTATTTCTTTTTGTACTCTATCTATTCTAGAGATTTCCGAGAATATGTAGAATGTCATTGTTTATCAAAAATAAATTAATAAATTACAATTTTACATAGTTTTTTTGGAAATTGATCGGTGTACGAATACTTTCTACACCCACTGTAGCTATCTCTATTCAGTCCTGTTCAGATGCGTGGCGCTACCTCTAGAACTAACGCCACTTTATCTTGCAGCACTACAGGGGTAGCATGAAATCGCTAAACACTGGTATAATCACCCTCCTGAACTACGGCAAGCACGTACCACCGACGGTTTCTCATGTCACCCTGGCACACGAGATCGGTCACAACTTCGGATCCCCTGTAAGTTGGCTAGGGCTTGCATGTTGTCGACGCCAAGTCCGAATACACATGAAAAGTTTCGGCGATGGTTGGGTAATGCTAGAACCGAGGATAATTTCACCGAATATCGTACATGTATTTTGATTTCTGACCGCGACTCTCAACCTAAACTTCGTAGTTCCGAGGAAAATTTATGAAAACGTTGTCTTCTTTGAAGAGGGGGTGCTGCAGAATGGAATCTAACCAATTATTAGAGTAATCAAGGGGTGGATTCTTGAAAGTGTTACCAGTGGAATTTTACATAGGTTCGAGCAATTTGTTAAGAGCTCCAAGTGACCAGAATTTGTTAATGACTGGAAATTGATGAAAGTGTAGGAAAATGGGAAATCAAAGACTGAATTGAAAAATTGGAAAAAGAAAAATTGTTTCGCTTTTTAGATTACTCTTGTAATATCCTTTGAAGCATCCCTTTGGAGGGCGTTCATGGAATATTCAATTAACAGTGCAACGATTCAAAGACAAAAAGCTTCCGGGGGTGTCAACGTTAATTGCATTTTCTTTCACAAAAGGTCCGAGTCCATTCCAAGGATGGTTAGTAGCAAATGATCCAACGTCGGGTTAACATGTTCCCTTTCTGTTAACGTGACAGCACGATCCGGACGAGTGTTCACCTGGAGGAGAGGACGGAAATTTCATAATGTTTGCCAGAGCTACCAGCGGGGACAAACGAAACAACAATCGCTTCAGTCCGTGCAGCCTGGTCTCCATAAATCCTGTTCTAAATGCCAAGGCCCGCTCGACCAAAGGCTGCTTCGCCGGTGAGTAGGGACGCTTTCGGAATTTTAATTAGTTTGGAACAGAGTCAGAGGCTGCGTTGCTTCGAGTCATCAGACCTGACCTCACGGTATCGATCGCTTGGTCGCGCGATCCTTGGATGAATTATTTATGCAATCGCGCCGAAGGTGCTCGATAGATACCGTTAACTAGCGATCAAGGCGTTTCGCGTTGATGAGTTCCGGCTCGGGTAGCACAGGAATTTTTCGCTGTAGCAAGCGTTTTGCGTGAAACTTCCTCCTACAAGAAGCGATGGGTATGAACGATAATGATTGATTATTTAAAATGTTGGGAAATTGGGAAATTGAAAAAATCTTTAGGCTAGAAGATTGGGAAAAGTTGCGAGTTGGGAAATTAGAAAATCTTTGAGCCGTGGAAATCGGGAAAGTGGAAAAATCTCTTCGAGTTGGGAAATTAAGAAATTGGGAAATCTTTGAGTTAAGAAATTGGAAAATCTTTGGTCTGGGAAATTGGAAAAATCATTGAGCTTAAAAATTGGAAAAATCTTATAATTAGAAAATAAGGAGATAAAGCAACTGCAAATCAGAAAAGTGAGAATCGGGGAATTGTTTAACCCAGAAACCAGAGTATCGTGAAGTTGTGAGAAGCGTGTCGTCGCGCAGTTAAAATATTTGCTGCTCGTGGACATCACTCTCGTCGGCTTTTCTCCACATGTTTTCTCTCCATAAAATACGGGAAAGGAAAAAGAGACCACCGCGATACCGAGGATCACGGGACAACCGTAGTTTTTCTAATCCACCTTTACTACGTTAATAAATTCGCACAGCGTGGGTAAAAAAAAAAGAGAGCAGGGCGGTATCGTTGGTACGGAATATCGATTGACCCAGGGTCTAACTGCAACTCAATTGCAATTCTAATAGCGGGCTGTACATGGCCCGCGCGAAACTCGTTTCGGACAACGAGCATTGGCCGCACAAACGTACGAGCAAACGAGCGACGAATCGTGCAAACGGGAAACAGATACGACACGTTAATGGTTAATGACACAAAGATCCCTCTGACCATTCCGACGAGTGAAAAAAAATCGTTTGGATTTCGTACGAAACAATGTATTTTTGCGGTACACACGAGCGAACCGAGAACGACGTAAAACATCCAGTAAAATTATACTGAGCGTCCTGTTTACACGTTGAATATTTTTTTTTTTTGTCAAAATGTCAACGGAATACATCCAATTCGCACAAAAAATGACTCGCATTCCCTTTGTTATTTCCACTTTTCACGTTCAATTCTCGAAGAGTTTTTTACATATTCATAATAATAATTTTAATTTCTGCCCTCTGATCTATAACGAAGGAAAATATCGTAATTCAGGTACACACGGTTTAAAATCCGTTGATGTTTTTAAACGTCGAAAAGAAATTATACCTTTTGCACCTGCGTTGACGAAAATATGAAAAACTTGTATCCAAGACAGACAGAAATAATTCCAGTACAATTTCACGATGGTGTGAGAAAATTCGCGGGAAAAATGTTGCAAGAATCTGCGTGCTCGAGTTGCGAAGCTGATGTAAAAACAGAACGGCGCAGGCATCGCGGCTCGCAATTGATTCTATTATGCAGTCGCGGCCGACTTGTTGGGCTTCATTAAATCCGCGATTGCATTAAGCTCGCAACAAATCAGGTTAACATTTATTCCGTCTACTTTGCTTCTATTCGCGGCTTGTTCTTGGCTCGTCCGAAATCCGAGCAATCTAACGTATACATTGGAATTTCGAAAGACTTTGCGAAGCTTCGCGCGAAAAGAGTATTCAACGGACTACCTAGAAAAAAAAAGAATTAGGTCGCCTCATTAAATTCACATGATTCCCAAAGTAATTTGCATCGAGTACACAAAAGCTTTCGATTTGGGAGTGGAATGAGTGTTACGCTTCGTTCAAAGTGTCTGAACAAAGAAAATATAGAAACATAATGAACTTGTAACGTTGGTTTATCGAAGTGTAATGGAGAATCGATGATTTCTCAGAGCCTCAGACTGCCATCTGCGGGAACGGCGTGGTGGAAGACGGCGAAGAGTGTGATTGCGGATGGGAGGAGGACTGCAACGACCCTTGTTGCCACCCTCAACGACTCCATCATCCCTCTCATGAGATACCTTGTCGTCTTGCCGATGGTGCAGTGTGCAGTCCCAGTCAGGTAAGTGGCCCCTTTTCGTTCATTTGCTGACTGTTCAGAAACGCTCGTTTCGTCGGCGAACTGCGATTAAGTCTAATGTTCCTCCCGGGGCGCGATCTACCTTTTTAAACTTTGCTTTGTTGCGCTATTAAGGGGACCCGTAACCTCCCGACACCTGTGAAGCAATGACGAGATTGTACGCCTGTAGAAAACAGAAAAATTCCTACGGAGAAGAATGCGATTTTAGATTGGAATATTTTCTGTGATTATTCTAGTATACTACAATATTGGATCTCATAAAGGAGCCTCAGATTACTATTTTTTGTGAGATTATTCCAAGCAAAGAAAATTCACGATTTTTTTAGTAGCAGCATGTATTTTTGCAAGGCCCATTCTATTATGCTTTCCGAGATGCATTAAACGAGGCAAGTAAAGCGTACCTACGACGGACCATTTACCATAACTTCCCATGAATACCGAGGGACCGAGAGGTTTCTATTTTTTAAAGCCCCTGAATGGAAACGTTGCGACAGAAATTGCAACCGTGCCCCTTCAAGCAGCGAGTTTCCTTGAAATTTCGACAGAGACCCATTTTCATTCCTACAAAGGCTACAATCTATGCTGAATATGTTATGAATTCGTATCGCATACCTTGAAAGGGTAACACGTCCTGCAGAACGGAACACAGACGTGCAATATCGATTTCCCTCGGGGACTTGATGAACACTATTATTCCCTGGACGAAACAGTGGCATTTTTTTATTCAAGGATGTAAAGAAATAAAAAAGATCCATATAAACTTAAATAATAACCGTGTCTCACCTTCTTAAATTAAAACGAATACGTACATGTTGTTCTTCGTAGAATCATTACATGGAATAGTTTCGGAGGGTGAAACTTTCGGGAGTTGTTGTTGTCACCGTAGTTAAAACAATAAATAAGCATCCGTTATTTTTAGACGGTCCAAAAAAGAATCCCGTTACTTATTTCCGAATACAACCCATCGATTTCCAATCTCCAGGGGTTGGAAAACAATAAGCAACAGCCAGAATGCATCCTTCGCGCGTGTCACGAAAAATGAATCAATTTTTCCGACCTGTCAAATGGGAACTCCCCTTAATAACGAGCCCTTCATAAATCACCCCCGAAATGAAATCCGTACCGAATATGTCTGCGTCCGATTACAACCCCCTAACGTGTAACGTCGCCAATTAATATAACGCGACGTGGAAGGGGCGTGGGAGGGCTTCGGGTGGGTATGGCGGATATTGATGTTTATTAATGATACAGTGAAGCCGTAATTAAACGCGAAACGCGCAGTTACATGCGTCCCGTAGCCTCGCGCGAGCGCGTCGGTCTCGCGTTAATCCGACCAATGCCGCTCGTTTGTTACCCCGGACGTGTAGAACTTCGATACTCTCCTACGGTGTGCGTTGGATAATTAAACGGGCCGCCGATAATGAGTAGACGAACTCCTTCCGCGGTTGAAATCGAGACGGCAGTAATTTACGTCGCAGCGAACTTTGACGCTCCTTAAGTGGAGTGGGGGGTCGATGAGATGCAAACTGTAAATCGAATGTGAAAGGGGCCGACTCGAGAAATCCCGTCCCCATCGCGTCAATCTTGCCAGGTGGTTCCAAGGAATTGCACTGAAGTAAAATAAACATCGAAATTGGCGATAATTTTAAAAGAAATTATTACACGCTTTTGTGACGGGAATATTATTGTACCTGTTTCGTAAAGCATTCGATCTCCTAGAAGTGAAGATTATTGTGAAGTTAGCAGTAGTGGTTGGGAGGAACGAAATCGGTAAAGAAAATTCGTTGGCGCAGTGATTAACGTGCTTGCTTGTGACCACAATGGTCTCGGGTTCGAATCCTCTAAAATAGTTTCCAATTTTTTCCGGGAAATCTGGACTCGTTATTGGAAATGGGGTGAAAATAACCCAGCTAGCGTTGATTAGAGATCTGGAAAACAAAAGGAAATTTTCCTCTAAGGCAAAGAAAGGAAAAGGAGTGAAGATACAATAAGGATTCCGGAAAATGAACACATTAGGAGGTGAAGAAAAATATGTAGGTGAATACGAACCATCGACTTACAAGCCCTAGGGATTGTGAAACAATAAACAGTAGCCAGAGTGAAAAGCAAGAGAAATCCGTGGAACAAATGAAAATATTGAAGGAAATAACAACGACCCAGGAAAATGCAATGTTGATGGCAAGAAACGACGAAGAGCCAGCGAAACGCAGCAACAACGGGTTCAATTCCTGAGACCAAACGTCCTTGAATACACCACAGCGGTTTCCATGAACACCGCCGAAACGACCACTTTTCCCGGTAACATTGCTCTCCTAGCAGATCGTATTACGGGCTGCGAGCAATCTCGTGCACGTACGATTCTTCTCGCTCGAAGAATCTTCCTGGTCACGGACGACCACGGAGATGGCACGAAGTCGAGAATTAGTTTCCAGGTATGTTCGGAGTCTCTGGTTTCCAGATACGCGGTGTTATCGTCGACGAGGTGGCAAACACGGGCTGAGAGAGGAGACGAGTTTAATTTTCAATGTTGGTCCGCTGTCGCGTGTCCCTGGCTTTCGATATACTCGTGGAAAATGAGACTAATTAATCAAAGGAAAATCGAGGCTGAAATTCATTTTTGTTAAGGTTCTAAATTAAATTGATCGTTAAGGCTGAGACAGTGGGGATGGTGGAACGAAACATGCGAAATCCGTTCTACATTCCAACGAATCACGAAGCCACCACGGACATCCTCGGATCTACCCGTCACGGGGATACCAATCGTCAAGATTCTGAAACTCGACTGCTCGATAGAGGGCTACTTTCTTTCTCGTCACGCTATCTCGAACAACGGGAGATAGTCACCCGCCAGCTGCTCTTACGACTGATGAAAGAAACGCGAGGGAAGAAACGGTAAAAGGCGTCGGGAACGATCGAGGCCAGGACCAACTGCGCGGAGATGGCTGGCGGAGGGGTTGCAGTGGAAGCGTTAACAGAAAAAAGGTGGTGGAATCGGGGGAAGCGCCGCTCGCGGAAGTCGATGCATTAGGTGGATCGCGGGAGAAAAGTGCCGGATGCAAAACACGTAGATCCACGGAACGAACGCCTGGGACGTAGACGAATGGGCGACCTCCTTCGGGACGCGTGTTTGCTCGGCGGTTGAAAGAAACGACGCCTGCAATGAACAAGGGAGGGAAGAGGAACCGAGAGGAAGCTGCGGACATTAAGCGGAAGCAGCAGTATTAGGGTGTCCTAGGAAATATTGCGCTCTTCGAAGACTTAATTTATTAATGGGAGGTCCTGGTACGGACTGCTAAGAAACGGGACGCTTTATCGAATTTTTTTGGGGGTAGAAGTAAAACAGATAAGTGGAAGGGGGCCTTCGATGTTTTATTCTACGACCTTTTAACTTTCGGAATAAAATTGCTAGCACGTTAAATAACGAGATCAGAATTAGAGAAGATGATGTAGGTCAACTCTGATGAGAAAAAGGGTGGGAAAAATGGCGGGAAACGACGCAGACGTGAAAGTTGCAGTGGAATAGGTGTGTATTATTTTGCCAAGTGACTGCAAACGGTTGATGAACTCGGACCACGAAGTTCCCCGGTAATAGCCAGACGATAAGTTCTCAGACTTCGTGCGACTTGACACGTTTCTTATGAAACTTTAATACAATTACACGGAACAGCTTGCTCAGCCTGGCAAAGGTTCCAGGGTTATCGCCGAAGAATATTTCAACCCCCCACCTACTAGGTTTGGTGGTAGCTAACAAGTTCTCGGACAACTTCAGACTTCGATTGTTTCTGGGTAGCTTGACAAATTTTCCACGAAAGTTTGGCACAGTTACAACCAAGTCCACGTTTGCCGAACTCGCGGTAGCTTAGTCTGCCCCAGGGTTTCAAGAAAATATTAAAGGGTCGAATTATCGCGAAAGAATATTTCATGACTTTCGATTATAAATTCCCCGGGCTAATACGTTTAGGAGGTAACTTTTAACCTCGGTAATTTCGAAAGTATTTGATAGATTCCTGGGGAAACCTCGATGCACATTCCAGACGTGCCATAATTAGAATCGAAGGTGTACCGAATTTGTTCCTTCAGCTGACAGAACCCGTCTCGCCTGAGAATATTTAATCGCGCTCGACACTTGCCTCGACAATTCAACTTGTAAAATACTAGAGACATGATATAAAATACCTAGTGTATAGCTAGGTATAGCTACTATGACCAAATACCTTGACGGCTAGTTAGACACGGAAAGAATGTGGCTTCTACGAACAGTCGTAGTAGGCGTACAATTTTGTATGTTTGAGGGAAAACAGTTTCTGATTGGTCTGTTGGTTGGTTAAAATTCGGGTGGAAATGGCAAATTGCAGTGACGTGGACGGAAGGTCTGGTTTTTCAAGTTAACCGTAGCGAGTAATAAAGCCAAGCAATACCTCGACGTGAGAAATGCAGAGAGAAGGAAGGATGAAAGTGCGAATGGATGGAAAACAGATGTGAGCGTTATACCTTTACTTTCGAAAAAAGGAAAACGGTCAGTTTGAACGTAGCCAGCGAGCAGTAAACATCGATAACCGGATTTCATTGTACCACACCATTTTTACCTTTTTATTAAACTTTATTTCTTTTAATTTACGCATCCGTGTTCATAACATCATAGCAACTCCTCTTGCTTGATCCCACATCAATATTTGGAATGTAAATTTGAAACGTGAAGAAATCTTAAAGGCGTCTACTCCTGCCGCTTCCACCTAACTATGTTTCGAAAACGCTGTGTCTTGGTGCCGCCTTCAGGCAGTTACACAAGATAATACGAAGGACTAGTGGGGAGGGTTGGGGATACGAAACAGGAGTGGGTGGCAAAGGTGGATGTTCACCGATATCCTCCAGGGTGTCGCGTTCTTCCTCGTGACAGCATTAAGGATAAGGGATTGCGATCCCGGGAGGAGTTCTGCAGGGAAATGAAGCACGTATAGGTGTCACGATTGAAACGCAGATAGGGGGCGTCGTGCTCGCGCTGGTGCATGTGTGCGCAGACCCGCGCTTTGAAAATAGAACGCGAGGGATTCGTTTTATCGAAGGAAGTCGCATTACCGTTCTTGCTGAAGGATCGCATCTCTGGTGGCTTGGATCGTTCGTCATGTATTCGTTAAAAAGAGGATATCACTTTGATACGGTTCGACGATGATGGCTCATAACATCTTCGACGTTTTAGACAATCAGATAAGAGGGCATCCATTTTAACGAGCCGATTAAACTCGATCTATTAAAATTAGAAGAAATTCTATGTGGGTATAGTTCATTACAGTGTTTAGATCATGAGATTTTATGGCCCTGGTATAACATAACCTCCAAAAGAATAAGAAGACAGGGTTTCAAGAAAATATTAAAAAGTTTCTAAAATACCAACGAATCTTGATTTAAATTTTTCACTTCCTTTTAATTAAGATTTAATAATTATCTCATTCGAATAGGCAATCAACGACCACGCCAGACAAAGGGTCCCCCAAGGAACGGGATGATTAATTCGATCGCAGGTAACAAAGAACCGGAGCAGCTGCTCGGAATCAAAATATTTCCGTCGGCCAGTGACGAATTCCATTAGGAGCGATTCGAATAATTCCACGGTTCGTTAGCCGGTGGCATTTCGCTACATCCGCGGCGGCAATTACTCGAAGGAGGACGGGCTTCCGTTATTTCCCGCCATTGTCGAGCTCTCCCGTCTTCTCCGTCCAAGGAATTCTACCAAGTATTGAAATTCGATAAATTGATTCGTTTCAGCCCGTGTTATTACGTTCCGGTGTAGAGAGGACGGTAGAAGAAGTCGAGAATTCGCCGTCATAAAGCTCGAGGAGGAAAATCGCTTGGTTTCCGTTATTACGTCGTAGGCCATCAGGCGTGTGCGTCATGCGAACTCGTGGTCCACTGCGAATCCACTGCATAGCTCTGGCTCTGTCCCTAATTTTCGTGAACCCTCTCCGCGCCAACGATTCGCCAATTGTAATGGTATACAACTGCGTTAGATCGGTTAGGTGTATGCTACGTGCAGGCTCGATATGTGTTGCATCTGGGTTAGATGTACAGGAT